GAGGTGGGAAGTACAGTGTCTGTACTCTGAAGGATGGGTGAGGATGTTACAGTGCTGGAGGTGGGAAGTACAGTGTCTGTACTCTGAAGGATGGGTGAGGATGTTACAGTGCTGGAGGTGGGAAGTACAGTACCTGTACTCTGAAGGATGGGTGAGGATGTTACAGTGCTGGAGGTGGGAAGTACAGTGTCTGTACTCTGAAGGATGGGTGAGGATGTTACAGTTCTGGAGGTGGGAAGTACAGTGTCTGTACTCTGAAGGATGGGTGAGGATGTTACAGTGCTGGAGGTGGGAAGTACAGTGTCTGTACTCTGAAGGATGGGTGAGGATGTTACAGTTCTGGAGGTGGGAAGTACAGTACCTGTACTCTGAAGGATGGGTGAGGATGTTACAGTGCTGGAGGTGGGAAGTACAGTGTCTGTACTCTGAAGGATGGGTGAGGATGTTACAGTTCTGGAGGTGGGAAGTACAGTGTCTGTACTCTGAAGGATGGGTGAGGATGTTACAGTGCTGGAGGTGGGAAGTACAGTGTCTGTACTCTGAAGGATGGGTGAGGATGTTACAGTTCTGGAGGTGGGAAGTACAGTGTCTGTACTCTGAAGGATGGGTGAGGATGTTACAGTGCTGGAGGTGGGAAGTACAGTGTCTGTACTCTGAAGGATGGGTGAGGATGTTACAGTGCTGGAGGTGGGAAGTACAGTGTCTGTACTCTGAAGGATGGGTGAGGATGTTACAGTGCTGGAGGTGGGAAGTACAGTGTCTGTACTCTGAAGGATGGGTGAGGATGTTACAGTGCTGGAGGTGGGAAGTACAGTGCCTGTACTCTGAAGGATGGGTGAGGATGTTACAGTCCCGGAGGTGGGAAGTACAGTACCTGTACTCTGAAGGATGGGTGAGGATGTTACAGTGCTGGAGGTGGGAAGTACAGTGTCTGTACTCTGAAGGATGGGTGAGGATGTTACAGTGCTGGAGGTGGGAAGTACAGTGTCTGTACTCTGAAGGATGGGTGAGGATGTTACAGTGCTGGAGGTGGGAAGTACAGTGTCTGTACTCTGAAGGATGGGTGAGGATGTTACAGTGCTGGAGGTGGGAAGTACAGTGTCTGTACTCTGAAGGATGGGTGAGGATGTTACAGTCCTGGAGGTGGGAAGTACAGTGCCTGTACTCTGAAGGATGGGTGAGGATGTTACAGTGCTGCAGGTGGGAAGTACAGTGTCTGTACTCTGAAGGATGGGTGAGGATGTTACAGTGCTGGAGGTGGGAAGTACAGTGCCTGTACTCTGAAGGATGGGTGAGGATGTTACAGTGCTGGAGGTGGAAAGTACAGTGTCTGTACTCTGAAGGATGGGTGAGGATGTTACAGTGCTGGAGGTGGGAAGTACAGTACCTGTACTCTGAAGGATGGGTGAGGATGTTACAGTGCTGGAGGGGGGAAGTACAGTACCTGTACTCTGAAGGATGGGTGAGGATGTTACAGTGCTGGAGGTGGGAAGTACAGTACCTGTACTCTGAAGGATGGGTGAGGATGTTACAGTGCTGGAGGTGGGAAGTACAGTACCTGTACTCTGAAGGATGGGTGAGGATGTTACAGTCCCGGAGGTGGGAAGTACAGTACCTGTACTCTGAAGGATGGGTGAGGATGTTACAGTGCTGGAGGTGGGAAGTACAGTACCTGTACTCTGAAGGATGGGTGAGGATGTTACAGTGCTGGAGGTGGGAAGTACAGTACCTGCACTCTGAAGGATGGGTGAGGATGTTACAGTCCCGGAGGTGGGAAGTACAGTACCTGTACTCTGAAGGATGGGTGAGGATGTTACAGTGCTGGAGGTGGGAAGTACAGTGTCTGTACTCTGAAGGATGGGTGAGGATGTTACAGTGCTGGAGGTGGGAAGTACAGTGTCTGTACTCTGAAGGATGGGTGAGGATGTTACAGTGCTGGAGGTGGGAAGTACAGTGTCTGTACTCTGAAGGATGGGTGAGGATGTTACAGTGCTGGAGGTGGGAAGTACAGTGTCTGTACTCTGAAGGATGGGTGAGGATGTTACAGTCCTGGAGGTGGGAAGTACAGTGCCTGTACTCTGAAGGATGGGTGAGGATGTTACAGTGCTGCAGGTGGGAAGTACAGTGTCTGTACTCTGAAGGATGGGTGAGGATGTTACAGTGCTGGAGGTGGGAAGTACAGTGCCTGTACTCTGAAGGATGGGTGAGGATGTTACAGTGCTGGAGGTGGAAAGTACAGTGTCTGTACTCTGAAGGATGGGTGAGGATGTTACAGTGCTGGAGGTGGGAAGTACAGTACCTGTACTCTGAAGGATGGGTGAGGATGTTACAGTGCTGGAGGTGGGAAGTACAGTACCTGTACTCTGAAGGATGGGTGAGGATGTTACAGTGCTGGAGGTGGGAAGTACAGTACCTGTACTCTGAAGGATGGGTGAGGATGTTACAGTGCTGGAGGTGGGAAGTACAGTACCTGTACTCTGAAGGATGGGTGAGGATGTTACAGTCCCGGAGGTGGGAAGTACAGTACCTGTACTCTGAAGGATGGGTGAGGATGTTACAGTGCTGGAGGTGGGAAGTACAGTACCTGTACTCTGAAGGATGGGTGAGGATGTTACAGTGCTGGAGGTGGGAAGTACAGTACCTGCACTCTGAAGGATGGGTGAGGATGTTACAGTCCCGGAGGTGGGAAGTACAGTACCTGTACTCTGAAGGATGGGTGAGGATGTTACAGTGCTGGAGGTGGGAAGTACAGTGTCTGTACTCTGAAGGATGGGTGAGGATGTTACAGTGCTGGAGGTGGGAAGTACAGTGTCTGTACTCTGAAGGATGGGTGAGGATGTTACAGTGCTGGAGGTGGGAAGTACAGTGTCTGTACTCTGAAGGATGGGTGAGGATGTTACAGTGCTGGAGGTGGGAAGTACAGTACCTGTACTCTGAAGGATGGGTGAGGATGTTACAGTGCTGGAGGTGGGAAGTACAGTGTCTGTACTCTGAAGGATGGGTGAGGATGTTACAGTGCTGGAGGTGGGAAGTACAGTGTCTGTACTCTGAAGGATGGGTGAGGATGTTACAGTGCTGGAGGTGGAAGTACAGTGTCTGTACTCTGAAGGATGGGTGAGGATGTTACAGTGCTGGAGGTGGGAAGTACAGTGTCTGTACTCTGAAGGATGGGTGAGGATGTTACAGTTCTGGAGGTGGGAAGTACAGTACCTGTACTCTGAAGGATGGGTGAGGATGTTACAGTGCTGGAGGTGGGAAGTACAGTGTCTGTACTCTGAAGGATGGGTGAGGATGTTACAGTCCTGGAGGTGGGAAGTACAGTGTCTGTACTCTGAAGGATGGGTGAGGATGTTACAGTGCTGGAGGTGGGAAGTACAGTGTCTGTACTCTGAAGGATGGGTGAGGATGTTACAGTGCTGGAGGTGGGAAGTACAGTACCTGTACTCTGAAGGATGGGTGAGGATGTTACAGTCCTGGAGGTGGGAAGTACAGTGTCTGTACTCTGAAGGATGGGTGAGGATGTTACAGTGCTGGAGGTGGGAAGTACAGTACCTGTACTCTGAAGGATGGGTGAGGATGTTACAGTGCTGGAGGTGGAGAATTATCACATTTTCACTAATGGGAGGCACTTTACGGCTTCTCTTAGGCTCTGAAGAACTGCCAACTTCTCTACTTTTGTGCTTTGGGGCCATTATTATGCAAGATGTCACCTTTGCACCATTTATAACATTTCTGGTATACAGCCTCTCCTCACTTAATGACAGACTTCCATTCCTGAGACCACGTTGTTAAACAAATTTGTCACTAAGTGAGGAGCAAACTGTAATGGTAGTGAGTTTGTGTCAACCATCTTTGATATGGTTTTAATGTCAACTTTGCACAATTTATAACATTTCTGGTATATTTTTAAATGTTTATACAATAGTGTATTGTGTATTGTAATAAACAGAATAGAGGAAATCAGCTCTAATATACATTATTTTGGTATGCATACTGGTCAGAGAGCCCGTCGTAAGTCCGAGTCGTCAGTATACGAGTACATTGCTAAGTGAAATTATTGGTTTATCAAGTTGGATTATAATGTTCTATTTATTTTATTTAAACAGTACTGGACATGAAGTTTACAGACACACCACAGTACAGATTGAAAATAATTTACAGACTTTTTTATTAACACATCGGTCATTTCCCACCAAGGCAGGGTGACCTGAAAAAGAAACACTTTCATCATCATTCACTCCACCACTGTCTTGCCAGAGGCATGCCATAACACTATAGTTATAAAACTGCAACATTAACACCCCTCCTTCAGAGTGCAGACACTGTACTTCCCATCTCCAGGACCCAAGTCCAGCCTGCCAGTTTCTCTGAATCCCTTCATAGATGTTACCTTGCTTACATTCCAACAGCACATCAAATCCTAAAAACCATTTGTCTCCATTCGCTCCTATCTAACACCCTCACGCAAGCTTGCTGGAAGTCTAAGCCCCTCACACACAAAACCTTCTTTTCCCCCTCCCTCCAACCTTTCCTAGGCCAACCCCTACCCCGCCTTCCTTCCACTACAGATTTATATGCTAAGTCATTCTGTTTCATTCCATCCCCTCTAAATGTCCAGACCACCTCAACAACTCCTCCTCAGCTCTCTGGATAATACTTTTAGTAATCCCACACCTATTCCTAATTTCCAAACTACGAATTCTCTGCATAATATTCACACCACACATTGCCCTCAGACATGACATCTTGGCTACCTCCAGTCTTGTTGCAACATTCACCACCCTTGCTTTACATTCATATAAAAGCATTGGCACTACACCACCATACAGATTGAAAATAAAGAATTATGAAAATAAAATAATTTACAGATACACCACAATAAAGCTTGGAAATGAAGGAGTTCAAAGTGGATTTTTTCCCATAAATTCTAAAGTCCATTATATTGAGGTGGCATAAATCTGTCAACCACTAAATATAACATAACAAATAAGACAAACGAGTGTGAGGTTACTTATTTATTCTATCATGATTACAAACAAGTTTGGAAGTTTTCACAAGATGATGAGTAGACATGACAAAAAATCTTGAGGTGGGCATAGCAATGAATACAGCACTGACCCTTTGTAATGTCAATTTCCTTAGCTAGCCAATAACATTGATATCTGTGACAAATTCTACTTTAGAGAGCGAGCCAAACACCACCACACTTAACGAAGGTGTTATTACCTGTTTGTGTATAGTCTGTGTGTGAATATTTGAGTTTGCGTGTGTGTGTGAAGGTTGAGACACTGGTGGCTGGTATTGTGCCTGTGGCTGTGCTCCATGGGAGGTCAACACTGCAGTGGGTTATCAGCACGAGCATTTAGCACCAAGTTATGCTTCATGGTCTAAAACATTCACCGTTGCTTAGGAATTCTGAGCCTGAGAAAGGAGTTCCCTCCGAGTAACACTGTTACACTTTAATGGGATGAACTGTACTTTTATGAGAAACATAAACTTCACATAGTACTGTGAGAAACACGAACTTTATGTAGCACTCTGAGAAACATGAACCTCGTGTAGCATCTGTAAACTATGAGAAACATGAACCTGGTGTAGCATCTGTAGATTAAGAGAAAGATGAACCTGGTGTAGCATCCAGGTATACCCTGATGAGACCACACTCTGGGCTCATTATTACTAAGCTTGTCTGATAATGATTGTGTTGTTGTCCCACAAAAATGTATGAACAGATTAACATATCACATTAACAGACCAACATGTCAGGTCAACCATGAAATCTGAGCATCAATTTGTGCAACCAATAGTAACCCTAAGGAGATCAATTAGGGGGGCAGGGGGGGGTTTGCAGGAGATCAGTAAAACAATTTAACATTCACTGCAACACTTTAACATTCAATATTCATAGTACTTCATCTTCTGGTAACCCCCAACATGTGTGCGACATGTGATTCTCTTCATCAAGTCCCTCATTTATATATCAACTTTATAAATTAGACGGGGATCCCGTCACTTGGTTCCTAAATGCTGTGTGGTAGTTTGATGTACATACGGTGTTATATTTACAAAGGAGAGGTGCACCCTGGAATATATGTACAGGAGGGTCCCATATATACAGCACTTATTTTCGGTATTCCATGTTTTCGCTGGCTTCAAAATGACCCATTGTTCACTATCTTACATTGGTGGATAGAAGAATGGCTCAGTTGAAAGCCAATGAAAAACACGGAAGACAGAAAATATGTGTTGTATATACAGGTAACTCCTGTATACCAAATCTACAATTGTGACAAACTATTAATTGAGGAATTAAAATCTGACAAGCAATAAATCTATTTATCTCATCAAAAAATGAGTAAACATGCTAAAGGTTACACCTCAGACTTTTAATACTTTTAAATCACACCTGAAAGATTAATTTTAATATGAACACATTGAATGGCTATGTAAATATCTAAGAAACAGTACATAAAATGT